AGATGAGCAGAAGGACTTTGACTGCAACACACGGCAGCCGGGCTGCACCAATGTCTGCTACGACCACTTCTTCCCCATCTCCCACATCCGCCTCTGGGCCCTGCAGCTCATCTTTGTCACTTGCCCTTCCCTCCTGGTCATCATGCACGTGGCCTACCGGGAGGACCGTGAGAAGAAGAACCGTGAGAAGAACGGGGAAAATTGCCCCAAGCTCTACAGCAACACGGGCAAGAAGCACGGCGGGCTGTGGTGGACCTACCTGCTCAGCCTCTTCTTCAAGCTTATCATAGAGATCCTGTTCCTCTACCTCCTCCACAAGATGTGGGACAGCTTCGACTTGCCACGGCTGGTCAAATGCTCCAACATAGACCCCTGCCCCAACATTGTAGACTGCTACATTGCTCGGCCAACCGAGAAAAGAGTGTTCACCTATTTCATGGTCGGAGCCTCCTCCATCTGCATCGTCCTCACCGTCTGTGAGATCTTCTACCTCATCTTCAAGCGGGTTGTGCAGAGTGCACGGAAGTGGAAGAAGTCCACCAAGCACTCCGTCAGCTACAGCAAGGCCTCCACCTGCCGGTGCCACCTCAAGACGGAGGAGAAGGACAAGTCCCAGACTAGGTGTGTGGCAGCCCTGCGGGCCTCGGCTCCCAACCTGACTGCCATCTGATGGGGTGCTGGGAGGGGAATAGGAAGGGAGACGTGTCCAGGGATGGCTGGCCCCAGAAGTGGCCACTGGTGATGCCACCACCAGACTCTTCAGCCAGGACCTCGATGGCTCTAAAGGGGAGGGAGGACACATCCACAGGAACTCTCCTGCTTGGGACCATGGCCACGTCCCCGGGTGTCCCAGCGGTGCAGGCATGCTCGGCACCAGGTGGGTGCCAGCTTCCCGTGGGCATGCCTGAGCGTGTCTCTTCTTTCCACAGAGGAGAGGAGCTGTGAGCTTGCCCGTCCCAGCCGGTTCGCCTTCCCCTTGGCCCAGCAGCTTTTCAAGCCTGCCAAGTCCCCGAAACCTCAAGAGTCGACCTGTGTGAAAAATGACTAAACCCAATGAAGTCCCCTGAGAGAGGCCCCCTCTAGCAGATGCAGGTAAGGCAGGGGCAGCCCCGGAGCTCTGCCGGCTGCATGCAGTGGTGCCACGGGGCTTGGATGTCACACCGACACACAGACGCCATGCACGACTCTGCCGAGCAGCCGGCCCTGCCACGGCAGCCAGCACTGGCCGTCTCGGCAGTGAGCCTAGCCGAAAGCTGCAGGGATGAAGCCGTTGAGCTTGAAGGGCACACAGGACTGGGGCTGGCAGGAGGGAGCATGGGGGCTCCCATGTCCCAACAGCTTCTCTTGAGTCCTCCAGCTCTGCTGCTCCCATACTGGGTACGAATGCATCAGTTGGTGCCCAGTCAGGGCTGGTGTCACTCAGTGCGGTGACAGTCCCCAGTTTGCCAATACTGGGGCAGGAGCAGCTTTTCCCCCCTTGCTCATGCAAGCACCGAGCCGATGTCCTGCGCAAATGCCCTTGCTGACTCTGCTGCTTCCCTCAGTGCCTTTGTATCCCCCCTTGCCTCAAACGGATGTCACACACAGCATCAGCTATGGATCCAAAAGGCCAATAAACATCGTGCTGTTTGTAGACACTGGGATCTGCTCTGCACACTGTAAATCGAGGGGACTTGGTGAGGGCAGAAGAAATGGATTTGCAGAGGTTACCCAGGAGCCCGCGGTCGGGTGCTCCTTGCTCCTGCCCGAGCTGGTGGGGCGCGGGTCGAGCCCCAGGGACAGCACGCCTGGCATCCACCCGCTCTGCCTCCTCCCGGCTTGTCACACGTTGTTAAACTTTAATTCACCAGAACCGCACACTGGCCCCCAAGGAAATCAAGGAGGGATCAGCATCAATTATTTACTAAACCTTGATAAATATTACAATAAATAGAAATTATTTCCATTTAATCTCTCCTTAACCAGCGCTTAAGGGGCTGCTGGCGCTCCGGCCAGCCACGTTTCCAGCTCTGCTCAGCCCACTCGCGCTTCCCCAGACCCATGAGCGTGTCGCGGTATGCGCTGACACAGCCGGGGCTCATGCCACTGCGAGAGGCCGTGACAGTGATGCCCATGCTGCCGGCAGGGTGACGTGTGATGTGTCTCTGTGCCAGACATGGAGCAAGTGCTTCCAGCATGGGCTACTCCTGTGGGCACCCCAGCGCAGCATCACCTGTGTCACCTGGAAAGATGCTCCAGGAGGTTGGACAGCAGAGGGTGTCGGACCAGGAAGCGGCTCTGGCACCAGCGCGGGTCTGCTTTGGGACACCCGCACGGCTCACTGGGGACCTGTGGCTGGTGTGGGTGAAGCCTGTGCTTGGGCACAGTCTTCCTGGTGGGTAAAGCAACGTGGGACCCGGCACATCCGTGGGTGAGGGCAGCTCCGGTTCCTTTGTGGTTTTGGAGCAGCTCCCCGGAGGTGATCTTTTCCATCCATTGAGGGCTGGCAGGGTGCAGAGTATCACTAGGGAACGGGGCCAAGGAGGGCCTTGCCGTAGCAGCAGACATAGCCCAGGGGTGGTGGGAAGGGAGGAGTGGTATTCACAGTGGGCTGGCTGGGAGATGGGCACTGGGCTCTGCAGCACCCTGGTGTGACAGCATGGGGTGGCATGGTGCCTGAAGCACGGCAATTATTTCATATTAAACATAACGATGCTGTTCAGGCTCTGCCCTCTGCTCAGCCCCGGTACTGTCTGTGAGGAGGAAATGCCACGTCTCGGTGTGGGAGAGGCGGCAGCTCCCAGTTATGTGTGCGGACTGGCCTAGTTTCTGGTTTCGATAGCCCGAGCCCAAATCCGCCACCCCCAGCTAGCCCGATGCAGCCCACGCCAAGTGTGCCAGCCCTTTGCGGCCGCTGCAGGACAGGGGCGGGGGGGGCACACAGAGGGGTTTTGCCCCCCTGAAGCCAGCAGGACTTAAGCCTGTGCATAAAATGTCAGCATCTGCCC